CACGCCTGTAATCCCAACACTTTGGGAGGCTGAGGTGGGTGGATCAAGAAGTCAGGAGTTCAAGACCAGCCTGGCCAACATGGTGAAACCCCATCTCTACTAAAAATACAAAAAATTAGCTGGGCATGGTGGCATGTGCCTGTAATCCCAACTACCCAGGAGGCTGAGGCAGATAATTGCTTGAACCTGGCAGGTGGAGGTTGCAGTGAGCTGAGATGGTGCCACTGCACTCCAGCCTGGGCGACAGAGCAGGACTCCATAAAAAAAACAAAATAATAATAATGATAGTGTTTTTTGTTTTTCTGGTTTTTTTGAGATGGAGTCTCCCTCTGTCGCCCAGGCTGGAGTGCAGTGGTGCAATCTCGGCTCACTGCATGCTCCGCCCCCTGCAGTTCACGCCATTCTCCTGCCTCAGCCTCCCGAGTAGCTGGGACTACAGGTGCCCACCACCACGCCCAGCTAATTTTTTGTATTTTCAGTAGAGACGGAGTTTCACTGTGTTAGCCAGGATGGTCTCCATCTCCTGACCTCGTGATCCTCCCACCTTGGCCTCCCAAAGTGCAGGATAGTGTTTTTGTGTGAAGCGGAGGCAGAAAGATGGGCTAGGAAAGGAGCACACGGGAAGATGTAGGTGTTGGAAATGTTCTAGGTCTTGGGTTCAATAGTGGGTTCATGTGTGTTCATTATGTTATGAATAAATACATAAATTAATAAGTGCCATACTTGGGCTAATGTTGACAATGTGTCATGATCAAGGACTATGATTAATTCAATTCTGATCATTCAATACCTTAAATGGAAGACAGAACTAGAGAGAGAGAAGACAGAACTAGGCAGTTAGCCTTCCTTCCTTTTTTCCTCCCTCCCTTCCTCCCCACCTGCCTGTCTTTCTTTTCTTCTCCTTTACCTTTAATTATTCCAAAAACATCTACTGTCTGTTGACTGTATACACTGTGCCAGGCTGAGAACTAGGAACACTGGGATGAATCAGACACAGTCCTGCCCCGAAGAGTCACCATGCCATGCGAGAGTCTGACAATTCCTCAAAGGTTTTCAAGGTGCTATGACAAATGTAAAGCAACAAGGTGTGGTAGGGCTTACAGAAGGGGCCCTTAACCCAGCCTGGGCTATTTGGGAAGACTGTGGAGCTTTCTGCTTTGACAAATTAGCAAGAAGAAAATGTGGTTGGGGGTGTAACAGGTATAAAAATGAAAAAGACAGCCTTGCCCTTGAAGAGCTCATATCTTGGGGTGAGGGACAAGAAAGGAGGCCACAACAGTGGGACTTGGGGTTGTGAGAGAGGCAAGCACAGTCTTGAGATGCACATAGGAGGGCACCGTGCTGTGCCTGCGGTGTTAGGAAGGCTTCCTGGAGGAGATGACATGTATATAGGCAGAGAGACAAAGTATGAATTAGAGTTACCTGGAAAGTCTGTACCAGAAAGAAAGGCAAGCATGTACAATGGCCTGTGGCAGGAAGAAAGAGCATGAAGGAGCTCAGGGGGCCCCAGTGTGGCCTGGCCCAGAGTGCAAACGAGAGGAGGTGAAACTAGATGAGTAGGCAGGGAGCCAGATTCCATGAAAAAGCGTGACCATTATCCTGTGGGCCATGAGGTACCTCTGAAGGGAGGGGCAAGGGTGGTTTTTCCTTTATGAAGAGAGCCCAGCAGTAGAGTAGAGGTGAGGGGGCTGCTTTCGCTGCTGGGGAAAGAGATGGTGATGTTTGGGTTGTAGAGAGGAACAGAATTTGAGAGCTGAGCACCTGATGGGCAATGCCGCATGGCAGACTGGGCTCAAACACGATTGCTCCTGAGGGGTGGGCAGAGGACATTCAGACCTCACACAACACAGTTCTATGTTGCCAAAGACCTCCTTGGAGCAAGCTTCAAACTCCAAAATTTCTCAGAACTGAAAGTTTTTCCTCCAACTTCTATAAAACCAAGGTAAGTACTTTTGCAAGACAGAGAAGGAGTCCAAGATTTCAATAGCTAAAAACTGGGAAGTAGACTGTATACCATGTCTTGTGGGAGAAAGGCAGGAGGAGTGAGGGTCACAGCTTTGCTTTATCCAAGGGGTTCTGGACTCCTGACTCCAGCAGCTCCCTACTGCACCTTCTGCCCCGGGCATTACTCTGCCTTAGTCCAAGAATCCCACGAATACTACAGAGCTTGGTCTACTCCTGAGAAGTAAAAGGAAAAATATTTATTGTGCACCTACTGCACGACAAGCTACAACCCACAATTGTACTCCGGAGACATTCTTCTGTTCCTGTTTACAAATGAGAAAGCTAGGACCCAAAGGCTTGGAACTGAGATTTAAGCCCAGAGCTGTCTGACTATGCCGATGCAATACTGCACATTCTTTAGAGCAATACTGTGGCTAGTTTTTCACGGGTGTAGTTAGACTCACTCTTGGACAGTTAAGAACATCTTGTATTAGTTATCTACTGCTGAATAACCAATTGCTCCAACATTTAACTGATGAAAACAACAAACATTTATTATCTAACAGTTTCCATGTATCAGAAATCTGAGCACAGGTAGTTGGTTTTGGTGATTCACGATCTCCCGTGAAGTTGCAGTCAAGGTATCACACAGGGCTGTAGTTTCCTATGAAGGCTCAGCTGGGGGGGCAGAGATCTGCTCCCAAGTTCACTCGTGTGGTAATCGGCAGGTCTCAGTCACTCACCATAGGGCCTCTCTCCACAGTGCCGCTGCAGGATATGGCAGCTGGGTTCTCCAGGGGGGTGATCCCAAAAGAGAGCAAGAGTGCATGCTCAAAACAGAAGCCACAGTCTTCTTATAACCTAATATTGGAAGGAACATCCCATTACCTCTGCTGTATTCTGTTAGTGAGAAGCAAATCAGTAAGTCCAGCCCACACTTTAAGGGAAAGGGTTTACACAAGGGAGTACATACCAGGAGTCAGGGATCACTGGGGGCCATGTAGAAGCTGCTGATTGCAATCTAAAGAATTTTAGTAACCAGGCTATCCTGGCTTCTCCCCAAATAGCAAGTTGTTTCCCTTGTTATCCAGAGGCTGGAGGATTTAGGGGTCTACAGGGACACAAGAGGGCCCTGTTTTGGACCACTCTTTTGTGCCTGGGGCATCATCTCATTGGGAAAGGCCAGTGTGGTGAACCTAACTGGAGCCCCTAAGGGAGAGGGGAGTTGTTTTCTCAAATTATGGCCACTGCTCCCTCCCTCCTTTGTCCTTGAAGCTACTGTGATGCTTCCCAGCAAACTGTGGAAGCAACAGGCATCCTGCACACACACACCCAGCCTGTTAACCAGATTGGTAGAGAAACCATCAGCATGAACATCTTCTTTAAACTTTCCTTTGCTTCTGAGCTTCTTTCCACAAATTTTCTTTTCTTGCTCCCCAGCCACATCCGTAACCCCCACAGTAGCTCACAGCAGAGGTGCTCCAGGAGCTTGTCAATAGGAGGTAGGAAGGAAAGACACCAAGTGTGGATGTAGACTAGCACTGTCACTTAGGGCAGTTCAAATGACATTCACTGTCCTCAGCATCTATCCTGTGCTGGTGCAGGCCATCCAGAGATGTGTGAGGTACCTATACTTGCCCTCCGGGGGGGCTCACAGTTTTAGGAGGGGCAGACATGCAAACAATGATGAAACGTTAGAATAAGTACAATGCATACATGTCAATACATACTTTTGTCACCTCATCATGGTTATCTTAGTTCACAAAGCATCATCTTATGCTTAGACTATTACAATAGCTGCCAACCTGATTTCCTCCATCCACCCATCCACTTGGCTGCTAAGAGGTCTTTCTGGAATGCAAATCCCACAACATCACTACCCTGGTTAAAGGCCTCCCCAAGTGATGGGGAAGGTCAAGCTCTTGATACAGTCCCCACCCAAGACCCTAGACACCATCCATCCCTACAGCTCCATCATACTCCCTCTGCTCATAGCACAGGCTCTGTGCTGTGATAGGTAGCTCTCCAGGTGACCATGTTGTACCCCTGCCTCCAGGAGCTAATTCATGTAGACACATTTACTGGGAAACATTCCCAGTTGCCTTTTCCAGTCTGACAAATTCGCCCCAGAACCTCTCTCAAAACGTTTCCTTCACAGAGTTGGATTGTCTTTACTTGTTTTCCGTGTCCTTGATGAAATGGGCACTCTGCATCTACTCTTTGCCTCTTACCTACACAGAGAGGGATTGGGTCAGCAAATGACTGCGTAATGGACCTGAAGTCAATTCTGGGAGGCAGACGAGAGCCACCAAGACAAGAACTTTCAATTTCCCCAAGGAAGCGCAGATACCAGAAGCTCCCTGGCGGCTTCTGTTTTGGCCACGCCCTTTTCCTCAACGCTCAGTTCAGGCTCCCAAAGACGCAGCCCACCATCAGCGCTGGTAGAGCAAAGAGACCGACTTTCTGCGCCTCGAGTGGGCGGGGAACGCTCCTTGAGCAGGTGCGGTATGAAATTGGACTTTAAGAGATGAGTTGGAGCCTGATCTCAAAAATAAAGTGTGGACATGTGTGTGTCCGAGGAAGGTGGATATTAAACCACCCTCTTTTCCTCCCGGCTATTTCCCACGTGCGTTGAGTAAAGGCACCAAAGCTGCCTAGCGACTGGGTGTCTACTCCCCGTCAGGGGCACCCACCCTGGCGCTCCAGGCGCGCTTGAATGAATCCGGGAGGACCCGCGCGCATGAATGAGTGCGAGAGCTAGAGAGTGAGCGCGCGAGCGGGCGGGTGAGTGAATGGCGACCGCGCCGCCGCCTCGGAACAGGGGCGCGGGCGCGGGCTCCACTTCCCTCTCCCGCCAGCTGGTGGCCTCGAGAAGGTGGCGGCGCCGGCAGCGGCCCGGGCTGGGACGGCTGGGGCGCGGGATGGTGGGGGAAGGGGCGTTCCCGGCGACCGCGCCTTCCGCGGCTATTGGATTAGTGGCCTTCAGGGATGAGCTCAGCCAGATCGGCTTTCAGCTGCAGCCTCCGGGCCGGCCGGGAAGGCGGGGAGCGGGCGGCGGCGGAGGAGGAGGGGGAGGCGGCGGCGGCTGCAGCATCCAGAGCTGGCCGTGGCTGCCGGCGCGCCCCGCGCACAAAGGCGCCCAGCCCCAGGGGAGGGCGATGAACACACCACATCCCGGGCCCGGGCCCCAGCTGCTGCTTCCGCTGCGTGCGCTCAGGACGCTGGGGAAGACGGCCGGCGCGCCCGGGGCCGGCGGCCGAGGCGCGGCCCGTGCGCCCTGAGCGCGGGACTCGTCGCCCTCCGGGTCAGGCGCCAAGCTTCCAAGCGGCTAAAGCGCGGGCCTTGGAGCGCCCCCAGGATCGCCTCAGTAAGGCGCTTCCCCACTCCAGGCCCGACCCCCGGCGCCTGAGCTCCAACTTCGCGAAGAACGCTCCTAACTCCAGGCCATCCTGCAGCGCAGAGGGGGCGCTGCTGCCGGGCATCAGCCGTGAGGACGCGCCCCTGGCCGTGGGGAGAGAGCGGGCATTCGCGGGTCGCTCGGGCGCCCCTGAGTGGGCAGCGGCGGCGGCAGCAGACTCCTCTCCCGGGAGTCCAGGACCTGCCAGCGCTGGGGATTCTTCCCGAAGAGGCGCTTGCCCTCTCGTTTATGGTGAGTACTCTCCAGCTCCTGGTGAGGGGCGCGCGGGGGCCAGGAGCCTAGATCCGGCTGCACGGACTTTGTACGGGTGAGCACTCCACACAGCTGGCACTCCTGGCATCCCAGTCCGCGAGAATTCCTCTCTGCAGGTTGTGGCAGTTCGAGAAGGTTGATTTGCGCTCAGCCCTGGGGCGTTTGGGGCCCGGCCCTTGGTATCATGGGTTCTCTAAGCCCTTTGCTTCTCTGCGTAGTGGACAACGCACAAAAAACTGCCACCCGATTCACCCTCTTGGGTTTGGATCCAGGATCCGTCACTCACTGGCTGGGTGACCTTGGACAGGACGACAAACCTCTGTTTCCTCATCCGTAGGATGGGAATAATTGTGCATGTTTTATAGGGGTATTGGAAAGATCTATGGGATGGTGCTCGTAGGTAGGCATGTGCCGGGCACACAGGAAGCACTCAATCATATGTTAGCTAGTATTATTATTAGCTTTGCGAGCCCAAGCTTGTTATCCAACTTTCCGGAGCTGCAGCAGTTCCCTCGTCCGTGTAATGGGGACAATAATTCCTGGGGATCTGTTCGTCCGGGGTATTCGGAGAGGTAGAAGTAAAGCACGGGTCACGCAATAAGCACCGGTGGCTGTTGTTACCGTTTATTCCTAACGCTGGGGCAGTAAGGCTGGTCCCCTGACCCGAGAGCGACTCGGGGTCCAGTTCCTGGCCTTGCTTGAAGACAAACTTGTCTATGCTCGGGAAGGGAGGGGGCTGGGAGCTCAGGAAACCCTGGGCGCGGGGCTCTGGGAAGGAGGTAGGGGGCCAGAGCCTTGAGCGCGGCAAATGTGTCCGCCCTGGTCGCTCTGTAAGTGCCAGGGGCTCCAAGCCAGGAGGGGACGTCGAGCCCCCGACCTCTGACTGGCGAGAGAACCGGGGGAGTGGCTGCTCCCGCCGGCCCATGGCCAAGCGCAGGCTGCTGCCGATAGGAAGGAGAGGAGGGCACTTCTGTACCGCTGTCGCGAGAAGGTGGAGAGCTCTCAGTTCTGGAGTCAGACTTGTGTTCGAATCTGTCTTCACCACCAGCTCGTGGTGTGACCTTGGGCAAGTTCTCTAACCTCCCCCAGCTTGGTTTCCTGGTCTGCGCCCCACCCTCCTCCTTGGGGGGTTGGGGGATGAAGATCGGAGTTCACTTCTCTCAGACTCTGAGCCCTCTATCCTCCCACCCACTTTCTGCCCCCGCCCCGCCCCCACCCCCGCAATTTGATGAGCTTAAGTCTGGAAGACGTGAAATGTGTAAAAGCATGATATAAACATCCTTTATCCAAGGGCATATTCCTCTGAGACACATACCCTCTAATTTATTCCATTTTTAAAACATTCTTTAAAAATCGTAATGAAAAGAATTTAAGCCACCTCTGGCAAACCACAAACAAAATTCAACTTACTGGTCATTCTACCCAAGTAGCTCTCCAGTTTGTATTTCTCGTTTATTTTAAAGATACGTTTAATGATATAAAAATAAAATCTGCAGTGAAAAGAAATCACCAGAAACAGTCAAAAGATATATGACAAACTGTCACATATGACATATGCCACTCCTATCACAACAGGCTCATCTCTTTAAATATGTAAAAGATTCCTGAGGTCAACAAACAAAAGATCAAATGAGCAAAGACACAATTTATATACGCAAAATAAAATAGAAATGATACTGAAACATATGACAAGATGCGTTATCTCAATAAGAAAAATGCAAGTTAAAATTAAAAGATTTTGTTTTTAATGTATCAAATTAGCAAGTAATCATAACCATTTATCAGAAGCATCTTTAAAAAATGTTGATCACATTTCTCCCTAGCTCAAGACCTCCTTAAGGCTGCCACAGAGTAAAATCTAGATGATCCCAGGGATCCTCAGGTCTGGTACTGCCCTCCTCCACCTCTTCATCACCATTTTCCTCTCCCCGCCACCCACTCTCCTAGCCTTCTTGGTTCTACTCCAACACTCCAAAGGCTCATTCACTTGCTGTTCCCCCTGCCTAGAATATTTTTCCTCCTAGTTTTTCATACAACTGAAACTTCCTCATCATTTATATAGACCTGTCCTTGGAAGGGCTTCATTTCTATCCCAGAAAGTGGCCAAGCAGCAGTGGCCAGTGCAGAATTCCTTGCCCTTTTGGGGAAAGACCTAGTACAACTCACCATACGGGAGTTACTTGATTTCCCCTGAGCTGCCCAACCTGTTGTCACACATCTATGCTCTCAAAAAGTTTTTTCTCTGTTGATACAGGAGTGAAGGGTCTCGGGCATGAAAATCAGGGGGTGCCAGGCCCTAGACCGAGGTCACCAGAAGTCTCTGCCTATATATGTACTATATAAGAACATAGTACGTACTCTTGATTTATGTGAACATGACCATCTGTGGCAAGAAAAGATCAACTATAAAAAATTTAAAATCCAGCAACACATTTTTAATCAAACATGGCTCCTTCATAAGCCAACTAATTTATTTGCTGCTGATCAGTTCAAGAAATAGGGATTTGTTTTGAGGCTATAGGAAAAACAGTTGTGGGTAGCGTGTCCTTTGGGAAAGACAGTGGTATACCTCAAACCAGTTATCATGAACTTTGTGGAACTTGAGAAGAACTTTCCTAAGCAGTGCTGATTGCGTGTGATTTTTGCTTTACACCTTGAGTTCAGAACTTACTCCATTTAAAACGTATACACCTGGTGGCTCATGCCTGTAATCCCAGCACTTTGGGAGGCCAAGGCGGGCGGATCACAAGGTCAGGAGATCGAGACCATCCTGGCTAACATGGTAAAACCCCATCTCTACTAAAAATACAAAAAATTAGCCAGGCCTGGCGGTGTGCGCCTGTAGTCCCAGCTGCTGGGGAGGCTGAGGCAGGAGAATGGTGTGAACCCGGGAGGTAGAGCTTGCAGAGAGCTGAGATCACACCACTGCACTCCAGCCTGGGCGACAGAGTGAGACTCCGTCTCAAAAAAAAAAAAAAAGCAAACCATGCAGGAGGTGTAGAGTGGCTAGTCCTTCTTCAGTCTGACAAGCACTTCTTAATGTAGCCAGAGGTAACAGGTACAAGGCTGTGTATGAGTATTGGAGATAAAGGCTGGTTGGGTGCTGGCTCCACCAAGAAATGCAGATGTGGTGCAAGAGATAGCGGCAGGAATCAACAGCTAAGATGAAGACAAACTGGGATGGAGGGCAGAGGGTGCAGTGGGACGTAGGGAATAGGACATAATGGGGCGGAGGAAAGAGGATGCAGTGGGCTGGGGGGCTGCCATGGAGGGGTGTCTGGTTCTGCTTCTGCTAGAAGGGGCGGGGGAGTGAGAAAATGTCAGCCAGGTCAGAGAAGATGGGAAGGGTCCCAGGATGTGCTGACGAGGAGAGTCTGGCATGACGGGTCTGAGGTGGGCAGTGATGACAGACAGTGTGGGAGAAATAAGAGCAGCCTGGAGGGCCCCTGGGTTCCAAGCAAAGAGGTGCAGCTTCTCTCCAAAGAAACCACTTGGAGGGTTGAATGAAGAGATTGGTGGGTGTCTTGGTCAAATTTACCCGTTGGCAGCATGGAGAGGGGGCTGGCGGGCAAACACTAGAGTCAGGGAAACCTGCTAAGAGACCAGTGAAGTAATCCAGGCCAGGTCTGAACTAGGGGAAAGGTGACAGGGTTGGGTGGTGGGAACTGAGAGATGGGATCCATGGCAGGAGCAGTGACATGCAGAGGAACCTGGTATGTGAGAGAGGGAAGAGGTCAGGCTCAGCCCAGGACCTACAGATCCCGAGGTGCCCATGGACCACAGATGTCCCACGGGGCTGAGAGTGTGGGTGTGCCCATGGTAGGAGGCTTATGATGGAAAGAGGTCAGCTGGCCTTACAAGGTCATTTGAAAGAACATCCAGGCAGGGCTGGCCAGTGGCTTCTAGTAGGTGGGTCTTGTGCTGAGGAGAGTGAAGGCAGCACTGGAGACCCGGCTTGAGAGTGTCTGCAGGGCGCTGGAGATGCAGGTCATAAGAGAAGATGCATGGAGAGAGAGAGTGAGAAGCAGAAACTGAAGTTGAAGCTATGGACTTGGGGGTACCCCATTGATGGGGTAGGCAGGAAGACCCTGGAGCCAGGAGGACACAGGAAAGCTGCTGTGGTAAGCTCTACACTTCAGTGTGCTCATATGTGTGGTGGGAGATGCTGGAGCAGTGCCAAAGTCATCCATCTGAGCTTTAAACTTGTGAAATGTCATGTGCGGTGAACTGGAGCTCTGCTTTCTCCAGAAGCGAATGGGCCTGGGCCCGGTTTGCTGGCCACAGAGACATTGCACCTGTTGTCTACCTTTAGGAGATATCCACCTGTTATCTGCATTCTATGAAATGCGCAAGTTGTACAGATTCCTGGGGCTGGAGCAGCTCCCTCCCCGATCCTGCTCCCTTTCTCCTCTCTTCCTCTCTTCCTCTCTTCCTCTCTACTTTCCTCCTTAGTATCTCAAAAATGCCCCGAGAGATACTGTAGGCTTAACAGAGGGATCTTCAGAAATCCCAGCAGGTCCCTGTTATGACCTACCTCAAGCCAGAGGCATGAATAGTTCTGCTTTTCTTTTAGGCATTCTGTTTCCAGACAAGAGTGATACCAAGTGGGGAAAGTTCATCTTGGGAGGTAAATGAGGGGTTGGACGCAAACCTTATCATGTTTTCATCATCGTTTTCCCCAGAGGGCTTCATTAAATGGCACCCTTCCCATCTTCTCCCTTCATGCTTTGACCCAGCCCAGACATGCTGGGCCTCAGGGAGGCCAGCTGCCCTGCAAACAACCTCCAAATGTGCCTGGGGCAGGCCTCTGGGCACAGGGGCAGCTGCAGTGACCAGGCTGGCCTGGACTGCACGTGGCCTCGCTGGCTCAGTGGTACGTCTCTTTCAAATGACCTTGCAGAGCTTGCTGCCCTGGTCACAGCCTAGCAAACCTCCTTCATCCCATCCGCTGCTCTCCTTGCTGGCTGACAGCCCAGCTT